GCCTAGCTCACAGCAACATCAAACTCCTGGGCTCAAGCCAGCCTCCTGCCTCAGCCTCCCTAGTACCTGGGACTATAGGTGCCTACCACCATGCTGGGCTGATTTTTCTATTGTTAGTAGAGACAAGGTCTAGCTCTTGCTCAGGCTGGTATTGAACTCCTGAGCTCAAGGGATCTTCCCTGCCTCAGCTTCCCAGAATGGTAGGATTACAGATGTGAGCCACCGCACCTGGCCAGATGAGACATTCCTAGAGGATTCCCTTTAGCTTAAATGTACTATGGCAATTTAAACTGTCCAGAGCCTTCCTAGGGCAGCCGTTTCTTCCTCTGAGCTCCTTCCTCCTTACTGACTTGGAATTGTGCCCTGGCCATGCAGGGAGGCTGTAACATAACTGGTCCCCAGTTCCCTCCACCCTTGTGCCTTCTTGCACAATCCCATATGGAACCTCATGTGAAGGTGAAAGAAAGAAAATGGAGGCTGGAGATGTTCCAGGGAGGAAGCAGAACCAGTCCTCCTGGTTTTAACTCTGCCCTGCTGCAGCCTTCAGGAGGCCAGGTCACCATCCAGGCAGGCAGGCAGCAGGAGGCCTTGAGCCCGTGACTGTTGCTATTTGCCCTGAGGTGAGTAGGCTGGCCCCACTGCAGTGGGATCAGAGACCAGAACAAGGCAACAGCTGACCTGAGCTTTCTGGACTTGCTTTCCTGAGCACCCAGAGGACCCCTCCCCAGGTCCTAGACAGCCTGAGTGTGTATGAAGGACACAGCTTTGCTTCTATGCTTTTAGCTAGAGGCCCAGGGGGCTGAGTGCACTGAGGCTGTCAGCAAACCAGAGCACAAGCAGATTGTTGCCTAGGCTGAGAGATGCTGGGATTTGCTTACTAAGGCAGCACTTCGGGGGGGAGCAGGTTGCCACAGAGAACTCACAGGTGTACAAAAAAGGTCATCATTGTCCCTCTGTGAATGCTTAGATCTCCGCACTGCCTGATGTGTCATAATAAAGTGTTATAGAAAAAGCTGGCCAGCATGGGTGTTCCTTTGCTGGGGCCAAGGAGGATTCATCCTCTCAGGTAGTTATGAGGAAACCCATTTTTTCACACTACTTCCTTCAGCACATGAAAGCCTGTCATGTCCTGGGTTTGCCTTGTTTTTCTTAGCTGAATAGAATTTGAAATTGTTTTTTCTAAATTTATAGAATGGATAACCCTTTGGAAGGAAAAGTAGAAGTCTCTGAGACCAAGATTTGCCTTACGGTTACAAGGCATTTCCAAGTCACTTGCCAGAGTGATCAAGGAGCCCACTGTGGTCCCCAGTCGAGCCCCTGCATAGGCATCATCTCCAGGTTTGTTCATTACATGGGGCTCATTAGAACACAATTCCTTGGGTGGCACCTGTGGGCCCCATGTACTGAGGATGGCGGGTTCAAACCTGGCCCTGGCCAAACTGCAACAAAAAAATAGCTGGGCGTTGTGGTGGGCACCTGTAGTCCCAGCTGCTCAGGAGGCTGAGGCTTAGGTCAGAGAATTGCCTAAGCCCAAGAGCTGGAGGTTGCTGTGAGCTGTTACGCCACAGCAATCTACCATGGGCGATAAAGTAAGACTCTGTCGCTAAAAAAAAAAAAAAAGAACACAGTTCCTCAAGGAATCAGGGCCACCATGTAATAAAAGATTCCAGACTCAAAGAAAGTAGGTCCAGGGTCACACCCAGCCTTCTGACTCCTTCATTAGTGTAGCCATGTCAAGTCCTCAAGACCTCACTCTAGATCCTGGAAGGAGAAGGAACTTTCAATAGTCTCAAGTAATTCCTTAGAGAATTTCATTGGGCAAACAATTTGCTATTTGGGAAAAAAAGATCTGGTATTGCGTTTCTTCCCAGCTTTTCTTCCCATGGCTCTATCAGCGTTTGGAGAGCATCAGTTTCTCTTCAGGGGAAGTTCTTTCACCATGGAGGAGCTTCCCGATTCCCCTAAACAAGGTGTGGTCTCTCTCTCCTGACACTTTGTCCCTCCCACACTAACAGTCATCACAATGATAACAGTTATCTGCTGCTGAACACTTATGGGCAGCTAAGAGCATTCATGTGTTGTCTTATTCAATCCTCTCAACAACTATATCTCAGGTAAGATAACTATCTCTGTCGGACAGGAGAGGAAATTGCCACCTAACGACATGAAGTAACTTACCTGAGTCATCAGGAAAAGGCAGCACCGGGCCGAGCTCACCCTGCTGACTCAGCACTGTTAACCAGCCGCCATCCTCTCTTCCCGCATCTCCCTGAACACACCTCTCTGCCTGTAACTGAAGACAGGAGTGGCTTCTTCCTTGGTTTTCATTCTCGACTAATCTTTTTTTAACCCATCTTTATAAAGTCCTACGTTAAGAGCCATCAGCTCAAATTCGTTTAAATTTACAAATTCCATGGACTGGCTGGGTCACGGCTGACAACTTCAGGGATGGGTCCCGGACCCAGAGCGGCCAAAAGAATGTCACCACCTGGCTGCTGATAGGGGCTCTGTGCCTGGCTCAGCTTGTTTCTGGTGGGGGTGGCCCCAGGCTCAGCTTTCCTTCGCACCCCTCTGTTGCTGGGCTGAAGTTTCCCTGGAGCAAGAGCTCTGTCCTGTTTATTTATCTTATCACTACTTTCCCCTACCCCTTTTCTGGCCACCAGGGGTTTGTACTTAGTCCTCAGGCAATCAACTGTGGTGTGCTTGGAAGGCTTGAGCCAGACAAGGTATGCCTGCACATCACACCTCACACTTCTCAATTTAGCCTCTTGGGGCCCTGGGGCTGAGCTGTGACGTAGGCACAAAACATCGCAGAAGGGGACAGCTTCCCAGAGCAATCAGACTGCTCACCTGGGCAGCAGGGCCAGCCTTGGTGTCATGGAGTTGAGAGCTCTTTCTGCCTCAGAAGCTCCTGTTTTCTGGGCTGTACCCCAACCTCTTGGCTAGCCCACTTCTTCTACCAAGTAGGCTCACAGAAATGAGTTCTCTTCTTGAAGGTCCCTAGGGACAGGCTGCAAAATGCCTGCCTGTGAGATTAGCTGGCAGCCTTCCTACTGCTCAAGTCTTGGGAAATGCTACTGAATCCTGGGCCTCCCTGCTCAAGGGCATCCCATGGACGAGTTCTCTGCTTTCGGCCATAGGACAGCCCCCCATGAATCCTCCCTGCCTCTGCACCCAGGGCACAGTGTACTGGGGGGTATCTCAGCCTCTTTCCTCCCAAGACCTATCCAGCACCTGGTACCAAGGGGTGCTCCCACAGAGGCAGGCAGGGGAGAAGCAGCCACCCTTCCCGAGTCCTCTGAGCCCTCTTCAAACCTCAGGCAGCCTTCCCTCTCCTGCCCACTCGGGTGGCCTCTACTCTCTGCTCCCTGCTGCCCTGCTGTTTCCTTGGTGCTCAAGTAGCCTCCGCCACTCTGTCCCCACCTGGGCACCAGCCCCTGCTCAGCTCTGCATATGTACATGGAGGACATGTACAGGAAAAGGCAGCACTGGGCCGAGCTCCCAGGCTTAGAGTCACTTTTGAGATGAAGCAGGACATATTCCTGTAGCTGGTCATTTTCCTCATCCAGGTGTGAGAGTTACTTTGAGTGAGAGGTACTTATGGGCTCCTCCTGACTCTGATCTCATGTATTCCCCCAGGACAGGAGACATTCTTTGTCATCCTTAGGTTGTACACAGAGTGGGCTATTTGCCTTGGCCAGACCCCAACCCTCACCCTCCCTGCACGGGGGCCTCCCACTTGCCGGTTTGCCACCCAAACCAGGTGCTCCCAGAAGGGCTTTCTTCTAGTGCCAACCCTCTTCTGGCCAGGCACCTTTGTCACTAGGGTTCCCAGGTGTCACTCCTGAGTCTGGCACCAGGCCACTCTGCAGAGGGGACTCCTTACTTGGCCCAAAGGCCTCACTCCCGGCTGAATGTGCTCCCATGGGGCTGAGTCTCAGGCCCACCAGCCCGGGGGGACATGCAACCCTGAGCTCACCCTCAACTCCTGGATCCTAGTTCCCACCAGAATCAACTTAAGGAAGCTCCTCAAGTAGCAACTGCAGAAACCTCTGACCTCTGACCTCAGTTTCTCCCAGGAAAAGAACAACTGGGAGACTGTAGTGTGTTAGCCTTGCTTCTCAAAGGGGCCCGGCACCTATAAACCTGAGCTCACTGGGCTGCATGTCCTGTAGCTGACCAGGTCATCCACCCTGTGGCAGAAGTGGGCAGCCCAGGCCTGTGAGCACTGATGGTGCTCAGCCAAGCAGGCCCCTGACTTGGCCTGCTGCTGAGTTTTAGAGTCAGAATATATGCCAGGTCAGACGTAGCAAAAGGGTGTGACTTGGAGCGTGGGACCCAGCAATGCTCCATAAATATTTGTAGAATGAATACGTGAAGGGAATGTCCCAGAGGCAGTAAGGTGAGAGGGGCCTTTTTTTTGAGACAGAGCCTCAAGCTGTCCCCTGGGTAGAGTGCCATGGCTTCACTGCTCACAGCAACCTCCAACTCCTGGGCTCAAGCGAGTCTCCTGCCTCCGCCTCCCAAGTAGCTGGGACCACAGGCGCCCGCCACAACACCCAGCTATTTTTTGGTTGCAGCCATCATTGTTGTTTTGGCGGGCCCAGGCTGGATTTGAACCCACCACCTTAGGTGTATGTGGCTGGCGCCTTAGCCGCTTGAGCCACAGGTGCTGAGTGGAGAGGGGCCTTGTATATGGGTGTCATGGTGGCATTGGTTTGGCTTGGCAGGAGCAGGAAGTAAATGAAGAAACAGCAGAAACAAGCATCTCTCCCTCTAGCCAGGGAGCTGGAGGTTGGCCTAGAACGGACTGTTTCAAAATCAATCTGGAAAAGGGGTGGCGGGTGGGGCAGGATGTGGGGTCCTTAGACCAGGAGCCCACAGCTATGATGGAAGATAGAGTTGGCCTCCCTGCCCCAGGTGAGGGGCAGCCTCAGCACCACGGCACCCCTGCCTCCAGGCTGGGAGGCCAGAGCCTGCAATGGCAGTGGGGACCTTACCTTGGCCGCTCCTCCTGGGCAGCTGGGCCTCACCCTCTTCCAATGCAGGCTGGTGCTTGTCTCTAGCCCAGGAAGCGGCGCACCCTTCAGGCAAAAAAGAAAAAAATGGAAAAGAAAAGAAAACCTCAGTGCTTTTCCCACCCAGCCTCTTCTCCTGAAGGTTCCTGGTTGGTGCCGTCCTGCCTCTGTGGGCCCACAGCCTCCTCCCCCCAGCAGCTTACTCACCGGTGTGCAGAGTTGCCAGCTGTGTGGGGGAGGCGGGACCACTGCCCCTCTGCCCAACACACACTGGGGCATGCCCTATGGGCCAGAGGCCAGAGTGGGTGCTGAGTCCTGACTATGGGGAAACTACACCCTGACCAGCACCCTTCTCACTGAACGTGCCCCTGTGAACTCAGCAGAGGACGCACATGGGTGCTGACTGGTCCTGGTAAAATGCCAGGATTCTGGGTAGGAAGCTGTTTCCTTGGTGCCCAGGCCTACCAGGAAGAGGGGGTGGCTGAGGGCTGTCCAGCCCCTGGCAGGTACCTTCCACCCTTTGCCAGCCCTCTGAACCACTCTTGACCTTGGCATCTCACCACGTCCCTGTCCTGTGGACCCAGAACGGGCCTGGCCCTGCCCAGGCTGACAGCTGCTCCTCATCCAGCTCAGGCCACATACCTGGCTTCCCCTCTCCCCAGCACCCATCTCAGGGTCTGGCCCACCCAGCATCAATTAGGACCAACTGCTGTAAGTCCTCACCCAGCTCTCTGCTGGACCCAGCTGGGGGACAGCACACACGGGCTTACACGCTCTCACACTCACACACGTGGGTCCACGCCCAGCACAGAGCCACCTACCTGTCCAGGCCAGTCTAACCCAATCCAGCCTCGCTCTCCAAATGCTGCCTCGACCAGAGAAGCCACTCCTTTACAGAAACATCCCCTGGGAGGTGAGTTCAAAGCCAGCCCGGGAGGACTCCAGTTAGCTCCAGAGGACGCTTGGGCAGCCTGATCACCATATCTGCTGTGGCACTCTGTTGGCTGCCATGGCCCCCCAGGCACTGCTGGTCCCTACAGTGCCTTCCATGTCCTTAGGGGGTGACGGCGGACTCACTGCAAGTCCCATCTTCCTGGAGCCAAAGGTAGGGAGGGGAGAGCTAGAAGGGGCGGTACTCAGGTGCAGCTCCAAGTTCCAGCTCCCAAAATAATCAAATGCAAAGGGGAAGAAGAAAAGCTCTGGGCGGGCGGTGACTCAGTGCCAGTGGGCCGGCTTAGTCACCTGGATGGCTGCAGGCGGCTCCTAGCACCGCAGGACCGAGCAGCGCCCTTCCCCTGCCGTGGTCCGAGGGAGCGTGGCCGCCGAGCCCCGCGCCCTTCTGCCTGGCGGGCGGCGGCCGCTCCGCCCGCCCGCGCGGCGATCAGGGCCCGGCAGCCCCGGCCGCGGCGCGCCCCTCCTCCACCGCGTGCCCCAGCTCACTTTGGGATTTCTCCTTTAAATCCTCAGGCAGCGACCTGCTCGTTTGGGGCGCTGAGCTGCTCCAACGTTGCTTGGCAATTTTGATATCGTCGGGGGTTGCCATGGGGAGGAGGGTGATGTCATTGACACAAAAAACCCACTGAATTTACAAATCAGCTGGGGCTGGAGCTATTTATAAAAACACGTTTTCCTCTGCCTTTCTTTGCTGAGGCGCGGGAGAAGGGCTGCCTGTCAGGCTCGGGGTGATCCTCTCTGCACTCCGCCCTACCCTTGTACCCAGAGGCCGGACTTCCCTGGATCACCCCAGCCCCCCAAATCCTGGAGCTGAGGATTCAGACCCGGCGGGCACTGGCCACAGCGAGCTGAACGCAGCCCCCACCCCCCTTCGTAGTCTCAGCTGGTTTTGCTGTGAAGGGCACACAGTGGCACACGAGGGCGCTAGGCAGGATGGGTGCTGGTGTCTTGGGTTGGCAGGGACCAGAAGCCCTGTCACTCAGCCGGATTCCTTCATTTCTCGCCCCTGGTCAGAAACAGGCATTTGCCAGTAAGGTGGCTTGAGTGGTGTGCCCATCTGCCAGCTGCCAAGGGTGTCAGCTGGAGCCCAGCCCTCCACACTGCCTGCCCCCTCTCTGGCCTCTGCATCTTCTTTACTGGCTCTTTTTCTTCTCTCAGTATCTGTGGGTCTTGGGCACCCCAGGGTTGGCCTCCTGCTCATGTCTCCCCATGCACATGGACCATTTGTGTTGAAATGGTCACATTTTTTTTTCTTTTCTGTGACTTTGACCATCAACCCAGCACCCGCTCACTCCAGAACCCACCCCGTGCCTGCCCCATGGCAGGTGCCAGCTCCCACATCCAACATGGCACTAGGCTCTATAAAACTTTTTTTTTTTTTTTTGAGACAGAGCCTCAAGCTGCTCCCCTGGGTAGAGTGCTGTTGCATCACAGCTCACAGCAACCTCCAACTCCTGGGCTCAAGCAGGTCTCCTGCCTCAGCCTCCCAAGTAGCTGGGACCACAGGAGCCCACCACAAGGCGCAGCTATTTTTTGGTTGCAGCCGTCATTGTTGTTTGGCGGGCCCAGGCTGGATTCAAACCCACTACCTTAGGTGTATGTGGCTGGCGCCTTAGCCACTTGAGCCACAGGCGCTGAGCCTATGAAACTATTTCTTAAATCTTCTTTCACTGTGAAGCTATGTGATCTTGGGTTAAAAATGTAGGCTCTTTCAGTTTTCACTTCCTGCTCCACTGGTCATTAGTAGAGTGATCTTTGGCATGTTTTTAACCAACAGCATCTCAATTTCATCTGTAAAATGGGGATGATTTCACCTGCCTCACAGGGTCGTGGGAATTAAATGAATAAAGCTCCTGGCACAGGGACTGCTCACTGTGAGCTCAGTAAACATTAATTTTCTTCTCTACTGCTATAACTGTATTATTTGTTGCTTATGCTTATCTACCCATCAACTAGTGGTAGGTTCATCTTCCAAAATTATGACCTGGTTACCTCCTGTGCAAAGCTCTCCAGCTGTATACATAGACATTTGATTGAATTGCATGGTGTTGGATATGATGGTATTTTTTTTTTTTTTTTTTGAGAGACAGAGCCTCAAGCTGTCCCCCTGGGTAGAGTGCTATGGCATCACAGCTCACAGCAATCTCCAACTTCTGGGCTCAAGTGAGTCTCCTGCCTCAGCCTCCCAAGTAGCTGGGACCATAGGCACCCAGCACAATGCCTGGCTAGTTTTTGGTTGCAGTTGTCATTGTTGTTTGGCGGGCCAGGGCTGGATTCAAACCCGCCACATTAGGTGTATGTGGCTGGCGCCTTAGCCACTTGAGCCACAGGCACCGAGCCGTTATTAGGGTATTAAATACAAAAATTTCAATTAGCAGTCAATATGAAATATTTTCCTTTTTTTTTTTTGGAGACAGGGTCTCACTCTGTTACCTGAACTAGAGTGCAGTGGTGTCAGCCTAGCTCACAGCAACCTCAAACTCCTGGGTTTAAGCCATTCTCCTGCCTCAGCCTTCTGAGTAGCTAGAATTAGAGGTATGTACCACTATGCTTAGCCAATTTTTCCTAATTTTTGTGGAGACAGGGTCTCACTCTTGCTTAGAATGTCTCAAACTCCTAGTCTCAAGCAATCCTTCCTCTGCAACCTGCCAGAGTGTAAAAATTACAGGCAGGAAACATCATGTCCAGTTCAGTTTTTTTCCTTTCACTAGGTTATCAGTTCCTTCTGAAAAGAGACTCTGTATTTCTCTTCTTTTTGTATCTCAACACAATTTTGTAAGTAAACTTAATAGTTATAAATAATCCACTTCTACTCTCTCTAATGACTCAGGAAATGCAAACTAAAAGGGATATATCATATACCCCCCCATCACATGGCAGGTGAGAGTGAATTGGTACAATGTACCAGTCTTGATCAAAATTTCAAAATGTGTATACATTTGATCTAGCAAATGTACTTCCAGGAATCCATGTTAAGAAATAGTTGCACATGGACCCAAAGATATTTGTGCAAGAATATTCATTGTATTCAGCTGGCTGTTTGGGGCAACCGTCTTTCCATCCTAGCACCATGGCTCAATTTATCCATAACCTCACAGAGAAGGCACAGGTGCTGGTGAACGCTGCTGTGACTTATTCCAAGCCTCAATTGGCCACATTTTGGTACTACGCCAAGGTTGAGCTGGTTCCTCCAACCCCTGCTGAGATCCCTAGAGCTTTTCAGAGCCTAAAAAGAATAGTCAATAGTGCTCAAACTGGTAGCTTCAAACAGCTCACAGTTAAGGAAGCTGTGCTGAATGGTTTGGTGGCCACTGAGGCGTGGATGCGGTTTTATGTCGGGGAGATCATAGGCAAGCGTGGCATCATTGGCTATAATGTTTGAAGACCAAACTTTAACATCTGATTAAATTTGACTTATTTGAGAGGACCATGTGTGATCATACTGTTACCTGAATAAAATGTGTCCAAAAAAAAAAAAAAAAAAAGAATATTCATTGTAACTGTTAAACTGTTTGTAACTGCAAAAAATTGCAAGCCACCAAAATGTCCATCTACAGGGGGCTGATTAATACAGGATGGTAAATTTCTATGCAATGAAATACCTGCAGCCTTAAAAAGAATAAGTATAACAATTATAGTTGAGAGAAAAGACCAATTACTGAATAGTGTGATGGCATAATCTCCTATTTGTTCAAAAATAAAAGAAATTCATATATCTTTGCATTCAACAACAAATGTTACTGTGGTTATCCGTGGGAGTGAAAATGGGGAGAAGGGTCTTTTTCTTGGCTTTTTATACTTTTTGCATTGTTTGACATTTTTAGGGAACATGTACTGTTTTTGCATTTCAAAAATACAAAATTAAAAATAAACAAGATGTATGCCTTAAAAACTTATGGAGAAACCCCAGAGCTGTGGAGAGTACTTAAAACTTGTATATTTGAACATTTCCTCCCACAAATTCCATTTTAAGACAATGTGGGGACAAGGGAAATATTTTTTCTTCCTCATGTCTTCCTAATTTCCAGAAATGTTATGTCTTAGAGGGAAGAGCAACATGAAGATGGGAAGGAGCTAAGCCAGTAGATAGACTTAATTATGTTAAATTTGAA